CCCCAAGGACATGGCACCTGCTGATCTGCAGGCCCGGACCTGTCCTCAGACCCTCGGGCTCCTTCATTCCCTTCGGTTCTCCGCCACATGCAGTATCGCCCCTTTATTTCTTTTCTATCTCCCTGGCCAGCGCGTCAGCTCCAGGAGAGGAGTTTCCCTGGCTTGTTCCCAGCCGGGTCCCCAGTGCCCGTCGCAGTCAAGCCCATGGTGACACGCACGCCCTGGTGTTTGCTCTGTGAAGCTAAAACCCCTTCGCTCCGAACCTGCGGCTGCTGTTCTGGGCCTTCCAGGGGAGGCGCAGGGAAGGGCCCTGTCCTCTGGCCACAGCCTGCAGTGGGACACCCTCGGAGCGCCTCTGTCCCCTCCGCTGGGGCCCTCGCTGTCGCCCTGGCTCTCCTCCATCAGCACCGGCTCCCAAGCCCATTCCCTGCCCTTGGCTGGGGCTCTGCACCGACAGCTGAGCCCTCGGCCGCCGCCTGGCTCCTCGCTGCTGCTTTCCAGCTGGGTTTCTGCGAAGGCAGGGGAGCAGAGAAGGCGGGGTGTTAACCTTGGTGTCTCCCCCTTTTCGCACCTGGATTGGAGGTGGTGGCAGCTCCTGTGAGGCGGTGCCCTTCAGGCTGCAGGTCTCGCTGGCTCTGGGGGTGCGCCTTCCCGTCGCCCTTCAGGCCTGGAGGGGGCACGTCTCCCCCAGCCCCCGCTGTTTCACCATCCCTCGCTCTCCCGGCCCTGCCCACGCCTGTGCGAGTAGTCTGGGGATGACAATATCTTCATCTGTACCATGTGGGGTGAATTGTTTCTCCAGCCATAACCCAGAATGATACCCCAGAGCTAGAGCGCTGGTCCTCCAGCTTTGGCAAGCATCAGAATGCCCTAGAGGACTTGTTATAATATGGATTGCGCCCCCCCGCAGTTTCTGATTTCAGTAAATCTAAGGTGAGGCCTCCAAATTTACATTCTCACTAGTTCCCAGATGACACCGATTGCGCCAGTGTGAGGACCACACAATGCTTATCACTGCCCCGCAGCATATTCTCCCCTTGATGCTAAGAGGCATATGTTGGGGTTGTTAGGAATGAAAACTCCCCACAAACATGAAATGAATATTGTGTGGGTGTTGGAGTCATAGGGGCTGAGGGCAGAATCGGGAAAAACAGCATCTGTTATCTCACGAGGGTGGACGGACCGCTTGATCTCCTGGCCCCTCTCCTGAATCTCACTGATGCTAGACGGTCACCGCAACAGCGAAACTGGTGAACACTCACCGTGTGCCTGTCGCTCTTCCAAGCACTTTGAAGTAGATATCACGCTATGTAAAGATAACATGTTTGTTAAGTAGATACGTTATTATTTTTAAGATGAATTAAGGGGACACAGGGAGTGCAAGTGACCTGCCCAAGGTGGCAAAGCTGAAACTACTAAAATCATGGCCTTTACCAAGGCATCTGACTCCAGTGAGCACACTTATCTGCTAATCTGAGAAAGAGGGGCTCCTGGGATCAGAGCACATGGGTCACTGGGGTCAGTGTCATCTTTCTAACCTACACGTAGGTGAATCACCACCAGAGGTTTCATTCCTATTGTTCTCCAAGCACCTAAAGGTCACGGTCATAAAATGTCTACCTCGCTTTTCACACAACCTCACTGCAGACATGACATTCCCTGATGAACCCAATATACATGTAATTTAGGTCCTTGAATAGGCCGATTCTCATAGACTTCTATGTGCTATACATTCTAAGGATCTTTGACATGCATGTTTTGAACTAGAGATTGAAGTTTATTCTCTTTTTTATTACATTAAAGTTCAAATTCATTGTACAAAAAGCATTTGAGGGATATTAATACTTGCTTAATAATGCACAGAACTAGACGTGAGAGTGTCGAGGGTTGCCACTGTGTGTGCCTACACGTGTGCTCACGTAGGCGTGTGTGAACGGACCTTCCTCCTGTCCACACTGGACCCCCCGGTGCATCGTGCTAATCACTCGGCCTATTAACCTTAACGTCCCATCTCCTCCTGACCGTCACACCCCCTCTGTGGGTCCCCACTGACTTCCTATTCCCTTGCTGGAAAAAATCAGAAGCATCTAGATTGCCGCTAGCAAATCCAAATTTCTACACTTGGCTCCTCCCTCGACCACCTTGTAAGAGTCAGAGTTCAGCCTAGAAACGCAGAGCAGAAAGTTTTCATGCAGGAAACAGAGGCAGGAGGCTGCTTTCAGGAAACCCAGAAATTCAGTTATTACAGGAGCGTCACCACCGTTGGCCTCAGCTGCCTGTAGTCCAGGAGAAAATGATTTATTAGTCTAGGGAAAAACAATTTACTGTTTTATAAATTTTGTTTTAATGGTTTCAGATTCATTTCTAATATATGGTTTTAAATTCATTTTTAATTTAAAGGTGCTATAACTTATTTAACCAGTCCCCTCTTATTAGATATTATGTGTGTGCTTTTTGCTGTTACAGATGTTTGCTGTTATGTTTGCTCCCAGCTATCACAAATGGGGCACGATTATGCCACCAAGCGTCAGCCAGTTGTTCCCGACGTCTTTCCCTGTCCCCGCTCTCACTTTCCCCAATGCCATTTCTCTGCCTCACTCACTGGACTAAGCCGTGTTCAGAGCCCTGAATATGTGTCCAGGCTGTTTTCCCTCCCACAGGATGACTATAAAATTGAGCCCGAGGAAAGGGGAGACGAGGCAGAGGGTAAAAGAAGGCACAGAGGTACACTAACTTTGAAAAGTTTAAAGATTTTTTTAAAACTTTAAAATTAAAAAAAAAATGTTATTTAATTATGGTTGGTATACAATCTTATATTGGTTATATTAGTTTCAGGTGTACGATATAGTGATTGGACATTTCTGTGCCTTACGATGTGATCACCCCACTTATTCTAGTGATCGTCTGTCCCCGTGCAAACCCATCACTGTATCACTGACTATATTCTTCACCCTTTTCACCCTCCTTTCTAGGAACCCTCCCCTTTGGCTCTGTTTCTATCCATCTGCTCTTGTTTTGGAAACTGTTCTTGGAAGAAGGCCGGGAAGCTCTGCGAAGGAGTCACAGACAAGCCGTCCTAGAGGGGCTGCCACCTTGACCTGGGCAACACTACCCTTTCTCCTGGGAGAGGGGTCAGTGGACCCATTGACGGTCTTACACTTTGTATACATATTTTTTAATTTCTAAAATTATATCGAGTCACTTTCTTTGACTGAACATGAGTTATTTCCTCGGGAATGGACAGCATGGGCGTTTTAGAAGGCTGAACTGTATCACCAAAGTACTCTCCAGAAAGGTGGTAACAATTTCTTTTCTCATTGTGAATACCATACTTCGATGCCTATTTATAAGTCACTGGAGGCTATTTTAACGACTTGAGTTATTTCAGAAAAAAATAACTTTTAGGCCAACTTATATTGACGTGAGTTAAAAGGAAATCTAATGAGTAATGAGAGGAAAATCGTTGTTCTTCTCCTATGGCATGTTGCAGACAAGTTTCCATAAACCTGCGTGATGACTTCACTTGCGAAACACATTTGAAATGTCAAATGCGGCCATATGTTCAAATGTAACAGATCACTGCCATGTGCATGAGTCGGGGAACCTGTGCTGTGTCAGCTGAAAGCACATTTGAAATATATGTTTGCATTTCAGATAATTCATATCACAAGCATGTTCGTATTTCAATGACAGAGAAGTAAGAAAATACATAGCTCCATGTTTGGAGTAGAATCGGGAATATAATCAGTTTGGCAGGACACTAAGCCGTATAGAAACCTGGTTCTATATCCAAAAGGTATATTCAAATTCATTAATATCCCCTAAGAAGTCCTTGTTGGAGAGAAAGGACCAGAAGCATTGCAGAGAGAACAGGGTGGAGAGAACTCACTCGTCATATTTAAGGAGGAATCCTAGGCGTGGCCCGGGGGAGGTGCGGGTGGGGCTCACTTCTGAGCTGTGAGCAGGTATGTGCTTCTGCTGATCCTGTCTTTAATTCTGATATTTTGTTCATCAGCTTTTTGCATTAACTTTGACTTTTCAGATGTGTCATAGGATACCATTTATGTTGATTACTGAGCTTCTGGCTCCCATTAGGTTTGTACTGGAGGCGAGTGAAACACTCGCTTACGCCTGGCTCAGGGTGCTGGCCCAAGGCCTCTTCTCTCCCTCCTCTGCTCCGGAGTGCAGCATGCTCATGTGGCTACCAAAAAAACGAGAGGTTTCTGCTGTGTTTTCCAACCAGACCTTTCCCCCACGGACTGTTTCCCACGCTTCCAACGGCTTCCCTCTTTCTTACCTCACCGCCACCAAAATAAGTCTTTAATACATTCAGTTCCTAGGCTTTCTCCTAGCTAGTTGTAGGCAATAGGTAGCCTGGTGGCACATGTATGTTGAAGGCTTATTATATTATTATTATTAGGGTTTATGTATGTGTTTAAAAGAAATTCACCTAGAGATCAAAGTGTCTTCTCATTCATTGACTACAGAAATATGTACTTTTTAAAATTTTTTCAAATTCTTTTTTTCTAATTTTTCAATTACTGTTGGCACTTAGTATTATTTTATGTGAGGTTCAGGTGTACAGGATAATGGTTAGTCATATGTAATTTATGAAGTGATCCCCAGATAAGCCTAGTATCCACCTGGCAGCATACATAGTTATTACAATATTCTCTATATTCCCAATATTCCCATAGGGGCTATATTCCCTATGCTGTATTTTACATCTTGTGACTATTTTGTAACTATCACCTTGTATTTCTTAACCCCTTCACCTTTTTCACCCAATCTCCCAAACCTCCTCCCACCTGGCAACCTCTGTATCTATGAGTCCACTTCTGTTTTGTTTTTTGTTCTTTAGATTCTACATATAAGTGAAATCATCTGGTATTTGCCTTTCTCTGACTGGCTTACTTCACTGAGCATAATACCATCTAGGTCCATTTGTTTCGTCATGAATGGTAAGATTTCATTCTTTTTTTACAGCCAAGTAATATTCCATCATATATATGTGCCACATCTTCTTCATCCAAGTGTCTGTTCTAGTCCTAGGGAGATAGCTTCGAACAAGACAGAGAAGATTCCTGCTCTCGTGGAATGTACATTATGGGACAGGTATAAAGATGTGATCAGGAATGGCGACATTTCATATATTTCGGCAAATAGTGAGGGAGGAATCATAGCAAGCATTTTGGTAACAGAATCGGGACCTAAAAAGGACCCTGGATAGAGTTGACTTGAATAAGATGACACCCAGCAGGGTAAGTGTTAAGTGGTAACCTTGTGTTTCAATGATGGTAACCACAGAGGAGGGGCTGTAGCTGAGTCGTGGCGCTTGTGAGAAGGCACTGGAGTTAGCTCAGTAGGAACTCAGTATGAATCGACTGAACTCAGGATGAATTTGAGACGTCTGCCAAGTCTCCCAGGCCCCAACCCTAACTCTGGTAAGGACCATGGAAGTAAATGCTTTGGGGTTGTAGTCTTGGGCAAGGCCACCCTTAGGTTGATTTTCCAGGACTCACAGAACTGAAAAAAGCTTATACTCAATTCCCTTTCAGCTTTTTTTTTTTTTTTCTATAGTAAAAGGATAGAGATTAATATCAGTAGAGGAAGAGGTGCATACAGTGGAGTCCAAGAGAAAACAGGTGCAAACTCCCAGGTGTCCTCTCCCAATGCAGTCGTACAGATGATGCTTAGTTTTCTCAGCAATGATGTGTGAGGAAGTGTTGCCAGCACTCAGGGAAGCTGACCCGAGCCTTGACGTCTAGAGTTTTAATTAGAGGTCAGTCACTTAGACACAGAGTGCCTGCTCTCCTGGCATTATTCATTCTCCAGCCTCCCAGAGGTCAAAGCTGACGTTGCATGACCCAAGACCCCAGTCATCCAAAAAACACCTTCCTCAAGGAGGCCATTCCAAGGGCTCAGAGGTTATGTCCCAGCCACACCCAGGGCCAGTCCTTTTTCTTTTTTTTTCATATTCAGGGTTTGAACACCCCAACCCTGGTCAATTAACCCTTTATTACATGTTGTTTAACTCAACAACATAAAAATATCATAAAGGAACCAGGACTGTCTTTCCATTCTGTCACCCTTAGCATTTCTGTGATGTCTCCACACTTGGTTGCAAATGCTAAAACAATTTCAAACATCATATGGAGATACAGTAACTATAACATCTGGGGAAGATGGTGTCTCCTTTTATTTAAAAAAACAAACAAACAAAAAACCACCAAACAATCTTTTCCTGAAGCCCCAGGGAAAGTTCCCCTTCAGCGTTCACGGACCAGGATTGGGTCACAGGCCCATTTCTGAGCCATGGTTGAGAAGCGGCTCCAAGTGCTACAGCTGGCTCAGGCTAATCAGGACCCACCCCGGGCCGGGGAAGTGCCACCTTTGCAGACTGAGGGTAACTCCCTGAACACAGCTAAGGCTCTTGCAGTTGGGAAGAAGGGGAGCAGTGGGGTGACCACCGGGGTCCAAGAGCATTTGCCACAATCAATCCATGTTCTCCCAAGGAACCAAAATTGAATAGGTGAGAAGCTTTGGGAAGGCTAATCTCAGGTAGAACTAAAAACACCACTTCGCGCACCATTTTGTATGTATTCCTAAGGTAACACCTACTATGTTGCATTCCAGTTATTTACAAACTCGTTTCAGTGCTCTGAGCGCCTCAAGCATAGGGACGAGTCATAGTCACTTATTTCTATGCCTGACACCTTACAGTCAACATCCAGCAAGTCTTTGACGAGAACATAACATGAATGGAGCGGTGCAAACGATAAAGAGCGGCACCCTGGCAGCGGGTGAATTCTCCCCATTCACTAATGACAACTCCTCCAGCAGGGAGCCCAGGGTTAACTGGGCGCTGGGACAAAATAAACCTTACCTACTATTCCAATAGGTGTGTTTTTTAAAAAAGTATTTTACTTTTTTTATTTTATTTTTTAAAAAAACCTACCAAACAAAACTATGTTTTTATTGATCTCAGAGAGAAGGGAGAAACGTGAGTGATGCGAGTCACCCACCGGCTGCCTCCTGCGCGCCCCCTGCTGGGGACCAGCGCGCCCCGGGCACGCGCCCTGACCCGGAGCCAGGCGACCTCCGGGCTCGCGGTCCCCGCCCCGCCCCTGAGCCCACCAGCCGGGCAACAGAGGCTGTTTTACAAATGAAGCTGGTGCAGCACGAGAACTAGTGTCCAGCGGTCCTCAGGCGCCTCCGCCCCGTCCTTACACCGACACCAGCGGACGGAAGGCTGAGCGCGTCTAGGCCCCGGGCTCTCCGGTTTAAAGGTCTCACGGCCGCGCGCCAGACGCTGCGGGGAGCCTATTGGCCAGGAGGCCCGCCACTCAGCCACCGAGGCTCCAGCGGGAGAAGCGATCCGATTGGCTAAGACCGGGTGACGCAGGTTTCTTGCGCCCACTGAGAACCGGCGTCCCGGAGCCTGGCTCAGATTCCGCTTTCCGATTGGCCCTCCCGGCCAGGGAGCCGGGACCAAGTGCCAGAAGCGACTTCCGGCCGGGGCCGGCCGGCAAAGATGGCGGCGTGCAGGTGCTGGCGGCTGGTGCCCCGCGGCCCGGGGCGGTCACTGCACTCG